GGGTAACAAGAAAACTCCAGTGCAAACTAATCTGGCAAATTACACCCTATTTTTTTCAGGTATCAGGCAATTCCTTCCTTGTTTCTTCATATCTATCTGCCTTGCTTTGTATCACACCATGACACTGCAACATCTCCCAGGGCTTTGTCTGTCTCACTTCTGTCCTACACATTTTCGTCCTTCACCAAGTTAGCATCTGATAAGCTACTGAGGCCTTGTGCCAGGAACTGTCCCATTTATGAACAATGGTTCATATCTAATAAGACTTCTAAGCTTTTGCAAGGATCATTACTAGACAACATGATATCTTTGGCTAGCATTGGATCTTCTGCTTTGGTTTAGCAGTCTGAGACAATCTGTTATGGGAAATTAGGCAGTTTCTAGTTCTCTTACTGGAAAGGTGACTTTGCTGCTGCTCTTCAGAAACAGAACTCACCTTCCTTGCCCTGTCGACTGAGCTCAATGACTGACTTATCTAGAGACAGGTAGCGATGGATGTGAGCTGCTGCTTGCTCGTAATCTTCATTTCGCAGGGCTGTTTGAACTCCATCCATGCAGAATTTCAGGTCCAAGATGTCATCAGCTCTCTGAATAGCCTGATAGAGGCGATTCTGCCAGAAAAGTAAACAGCAAGAGAAGTGATAGTTTGGCAAAAGATCAACATGCATGTCACCAGAAACTCCAAACTACTTAGAAGATCCTAACACTGATGACTCTGAACAACATTTTCCCATCAAGATTTGGCCAGAACTCAACTATACTCCAGGTTAACAAGGAGGCAGAGCCTCCAGGAACAACTACACTCGCCCTTCAGTTTCAGCAGCAGGTTTGCTGGGTGCTGGCACTTGAAAGCTCTTGCACTTGCTCTATACAAAGCATAAGATAGCTTGGATTCCTGCCCAGCCTCAGACAACTACGACCCTCCCCGCAGCACATCAGCACTGCAGTAGCTGGATAACTGAAGGCTGCTGAAGACTAATTTCAATTTATTCATCATATTTCACATATTTCCCAGAGATGCAAGGGAGAGAAGGGAAGCCAGCTGCTGTACACACAATCATACAATAATTTACTCTCGTATCCTGTAGTGTGCAGGAGCCCTACAAGAAACCACTGATAAAAAGAAAACCCTCTAGATAATGCTCAAATAATGAATTCAACAGCTTCCAGTCTTCCCCTCTCCAGGAAAAGGGCGCATTGACAGCTGTGCACTGAGGATGTGAGCAAGTGCAAGAGGCGGAACGCAGCTGCGTGCCGAGGAGCCACGAGCAGCCCTCGCTCCGGGTACCTTGGCAAGGTCAAGCTGTCGGACTTTGCTGCTGACGTTCTCGGCCAGGTTACAGGTGAAGGTGATCATCCCTGCCAACTGCTGSGCATCCTCCTCTATGAGCTGCAGATTAGGGCTGCAAACAAACACAGACAGGGCACGGGAGAAGCAGATATGAAGCAGCAGGATAGTCAGGAGCAGCAAGATGTTTCTTTCCCCAAGCCCAATCGATCCTCTCAGCAGTGGCTGCTCTCCTTTCACACACTTCCTACACAATCAAGGCATCAAAAAAGATGCAGCTTGCCTTAGGAAAGGCTGCASATTGATTAATCGCATCAATTAGAGCACAAATGGGTTTAAGGAACTGCCTGCTAATGAAATGGAAGATGAAGCCTATGAACTTGTGCTCTGAACTTCTGCTGGGCTTGAGGCTTTCCAGGCTGCTAGCACAACTTCACCAAGAGGAGAGGCAGCAATAGAATCACAGAACGGTTAAGGTTGGGAGGGACCTCTAGGGATCATCTAGTCCAGCCTTCCTGCTCCAGCAGGGACACAGGGCGGCATCCAGGCGGGTTGGGAAGACCTCCAGAGAAGGAGACTCCACAACCCCGCTGGGCAGCCCGTTCCAATACTCGCCCAGTTCTGCAAAGGGTACAACACAACGCGCCCGACCAAAGCGTTGATCCCCAAACCCTACAGTATCTGCAAGGAGATGTAAAAAAAGGTTTCTGTTCAACCTGCCCCATGAGGGGTCGTTTACTCTGTGGGACTCTGCTGTGAGTCCAGGGGGAGCGTCCAGCTCCCAGGGGAGCATCCGGCTTCCCTGTCACAAGCTAATGCAGGAGCATAGGAAAAAAATTATCTAAATTCTCTAATATYGAACATTTGAGAAGGGGCTGAGCTGCTGAAACGGCGTCGCGCTCCGCAGAGGAAGGGCAGGGGGCCGGGACCACTGACCCCATGCGCTGAAACGCAACCATCTTGCTCTCGATCGTGCTCTGCTGCTCCAGGAGCGCGTCCAGCTCTCCCTGCACCGCTTTCTGCGGGAAAACATACGGGAAATCAAGGATTTACGTGGCCTCGCGTCCCCTCTAGCCGCACCGAGCGTCCGACACGCGGCTCCTGAGGCTCCAGCGCTCGGACAGCAACGAAACCCGAGGCGAGCCCCGGCTCCGGCCGCGCCGCGCCGACGTTCGCGCAACTCGGGACCAAAAACACGCGCTGCGAAAGGGGAGTCCGCGGCCGGCGCCGCCTCCGCGCACCTCCTCCGCGCACAGGCGGCCGTAGGCGGCCTCCAGGTCCGCCAGCTCCGTGAGGGACTCGATGCGCTCCATGGACAGGGAGGAGGAGGCGGGAGACGAGCCGCCGCCATCGCCGCCCGCCGCCCTCGGCCCCGCCGCGGCGGCCGCCGCCATCTTGCCACGCGGGTGACGCGGGGCCGGCACCCCCGGGGCTGCCCGAGACGGTGCCTGGACACCGGCAGCCGCACCATGCAGCCTGGCGAAGCGGGAAAGCCACTGTTCTCCGCTGTCCCGCGGTGGGAGAAACCGGAGAGGATTTTTGGGAGGCGCTAGGAACGGGGCTCGGCTGCTGTTGCCCCGCCGGCTACTCAGGCGCCGAAGAGGGCAGCCGCTCCCCTCATCCCTCGCAGGAGGCCCCGCGCGGCAGGCGCGGGAAGGCAGCGCGCAGGCGCGGGGCTCATGGCGGAGCGGGCCGGCGCCGCAGCCGCCTGAAGCCCGAGCCGCATCCGCCGCCATCCGCGCGGCGCGCGTGGCCG